AGGCTGAGGCGGAAGGATCGCTGGAGCCCAGCAGGGCGAGGCTGCGGTGGCCGGGGGTGTGCCACTGCACTCCAGTCTGGGCGATGGAGTGAGACTCCAACCCCCCCAAAAAGAAAAAGGTCCCTTCAGATTTGGGGGTAACTGCGATCGGTGCGGTCAGTGGGTAGATAGACCTGTGCACCTGACCCTGCGTCGGGTGCATAGATAATGCAGGTGTGTGAATAAATAGAGTCACCTCAGAATCATTCATAGATTTATTGAGCATCTTCTGTGTGCAAAGCACTGTTCTACGCACTTGGGAGACACCTGAGAAGAAAATAAAACCCCTGCCCTCTGTAGCTCACATTCTGGGGGGGTGGGGGGTGGGGGAGTGGGCAAGGAATGATCATATTTAATTAGTGATGTGGAAAAAAATGGATCTGCAAGGGATGGAGGGAAGGGGAGAGGAGAGTTATTGAGAAGGTGCCTCTGAGGCTGAGGAACAGCCAGTGTACAGGCCAGGGCTGGGGGTTCCTGGCGTTGGGAGGAGCAACAAGCTGCTGTGGCTGCAGGGGTGAGTGGGAAGGAGCACATGGGGAGGGCGGAGATGATGTGGTTCCCTGAGAGCCTTGGTGAGGGGTTGGCTTTTACTGAGTTCAAGGTTTTGAGCCGTTTATGCTCCTGGCTGTGAAGCCGGCGGAATAGACTGGTGCAAAGTACCTGGGGAGGCCAGGCATGGTGGCTCACGCCTGTAATCCCAGGACTTTGGGAGGTGGAGGCAAGAGGATTACCTGAGTCCACGGGTTCGAGAATAGCCTGGGCATCTTGGCAAGACTTTATCTCTAACATAAATTTAAAAAAAATTAGCCGGGTGTGTTGGCGCATGCCTGTAGTTCCAGCTACTTGGAAGGCTGAGGTGGAAGGTCACCTGAACCCAGCAGATCTAGGCTGCAGTGGCCATGAGCGTGCCACTGCACTCCAGCCTGGGCGACAGAGTGAGATTCCAACTAAAAAGAAATCCCCAAAAACAAAACAAAGTACCTGGGGAGGAGACTGCAGAGGATGGTCAAGGAGAACCTCTAGGGGCGGGGGTCGGGGGGTGGGGAAACGACACGTGTGAATGAAATCAAAGAAAAAAGGAGGTAAATGGGGGGGGTTCGCTTCCGGGTAGAGGGAACAGCCAATACAAAGTCCTGGTGGTGGGAGAGAACTCTGAGTCTGGGGAGAAGGGCCCAAGTACTCCTCCCTATGGAGAGCTCAGCAGGGGCAGGAAACATGACAGGGTGTGAGGCCAGCAGGCGCGGAGGCGGCGAGGTGGCCAGGCCAGGACTCCGCGTTTATTTACCTCTCTTTACAAGGCACCTTGGCCCTGGGCCCCCAGCGCCTCACCCCCCGAACTGCCTTCTGGGGTGGCCCCCGCCTCCACCTGCAGGGCGCCCTCGAGCAGGGCGTCGTCGTCCTCCAGGAAGCTGCCCAGCTGCGCCAGCTGCCGTCGGATGAGGCTCGTGGCGCGATGCACCAGGCGCATGCGCTGCAGCAGGCCCAGCAGGACCTTCCGGCTGCGCTCCTGGCGTTCGCTCCACGCCTGGCGCAGCTCTCGGTAGCAGTTGTGGTGAGCACGCTCCGCCGGGCCCAGGACTGCCCCGCAGCCCAGGGGGCATTGCTGCTGGGCACCTTGCTGGCAATACTGCTGGTGCTCCGCCAGAGCTCCACGTGGCACCCGCGCGGTGCAGCTCTCATTGGGGCAGGCCATCAGCTGGAACGGGCATGAGTCCTGGTGGCGCCTGAGATGGGCCAGGGGGCATGTCACCGAGCACCCAGCCTCGGCGTTCCTGCACTGGGGGAGGGGGAAGAGCACGTGTGATGGGAAGTGCCAGCTGGGCCCCCCACCCTGGCTTTCCACTTGCCAGGAACCAGTGAACTGGGAGCCTCCCTAGCTTTTCTGAGTCCATTGAGGGAGTCGGGAGAGGAGAACAGCTGGTCAATGTTTGGAGGTGAGAAGAATCTAGAAGTCCTACAGGAGAGGGGTGAGGCCTGAGTCTTGGAGAACCGGGAGGTACATGGCTGGGTAGGTCTGGTGAGTGGTATGTATGCCAGGCTCTTTTAGAAAAATCAGGCCAGGCTTGGTGGCTCAGCCTGTAATCCCAGCACTTTGGGAGGCCGAGGTGA